GCTTCCCTGAGCAGCTTCCCAGCCTCAGGGCACTTGAGCAAAATTGCACAGAAGGCTCATGCTACGATTTGCTGTTACTTGTGTGGGAAGATAAACTTGAAACATCTCAATCTATCTGCTAAGCTGCAATTTATGAGCTACAAATGGCTGAGTCTTAGAGGGGAATAACAAATTTGAACCAAAACTGCCACTCTGCGTCTGGAGGCAGAGACCAGCGGAAAAACTGTCTTTGAGTGGAGTGTAAGGATTTATAGAGGTGACAACAAGTCCCCTCGGGAAATGGGAGCAGCGCCGTGGGGTCTGCGCTGCAGATCAAAGCAGGTTGGCGTTCAGAAGCAATGGGCTTAAAGTGAGGGGCAAGGGCTTGATGAGGAAATGGTCTTGGGAAATACATAGAAATAGCAAAGGTTTCTGTGTTCATGTACTCTGTTCCTATACAGTTCACAAGAGAAAAAGGGGGAATTTGTTTAATAAACAGCTTTCTGTGATTTAGTAATTCCATTCATCTGAGGATAGAGCAGATCCCTCCAGAGTGCTTGTTATTGCTTGCCTGGAAATCAGTCAGGGTCTGGCCATGAAATGATGTTCTGGTTGAAACTCCTTGTTTAGTTAGTAATTTATGCAATTGCGAGGAGATTGCTCAGATGGCCAAATGGCTTCTATTAACATAAATTTAATTCTGTACTTTTAACAGAAATAATTAATGCTTTGTGTTTCTTCCGGATCCTTTATTAGACTTCAAGTCCAACTTCTGGGGAGAGATCAAGGCTTTGTCTTTTCAACAGTGATTGCTTCAAGAGTTATCTCTGAGGCTAGAAGCTGCTTGAATTTTCCCAGGAGCCAGACTGGGAATATGGAACAGGTCTTGGCAGGTATAAATTCCTAAATTTTTATCTTTTCCCAGGGAAGTGTTTGTTGAGACTTACAGAGACAAGTGTGGCCAGGTTGGCTTCCTTAAGTGGGTGCTGGTACTTGCAAACTTAATCAATACTTCTAGCAAATGTTAGAGGTCTTGACTGCAGTTATCTAGTGAAGAATAAAGAAGTTTGATGTTTGATGCAACAGCTACTCTAATAGTTGCTGTGGTCTCTCTCCATAAGTCTGACAGTTGTGATTTCTTGCAATAGCTGAAACAGCTGGTGCCTTGTCATGTCTCCGTTTTGCCCCAGTTAGGAACCGAGATGGTTGTCTATGGTAGGTTATGGCCTCACAGCAAGATCTAGATAGGAAGGAAAAGTGCTTTGAGAATTTAGGATGGAAAGTACCATAGAGGACATTAGCAAGAGCTGCCTATTAAGCATAAAAGGTGGGCTAAATTCCTAATCTTTCAACTATTTTATTACTGATGATCATCCTTAATACACAACACTAAGCTAAATGTTGCATAAGCTACTGAGCAACAGACGGGGGATCCAGTTCTTGCTTTGTGTTAAATGAAACCACATGAGCACACGATTGCAGTATGGGAAAATTCATGAAAACATGCTCCTTCCATCATCTCAAAGGAGGTGATTTCAGTTGATACCATGGCACCATATACAAAGGAATCCACTTGGAGCCCTTTGGCTGGATTACTGTGTAGTGCAAAAGGGGGAGAAGTCTATCTCCAATTACGGCAATGTATTTTGCCAGCCTGCTCTGATGGAGCGTTGCCAGGGAAAGTCTCTAATCATCAAAGAACATGTTAGTGTTAATGTGATTTTTTTGGTAGGTCTCCTAAGGGAATGGCTTATGTCCTTCCAGGAGAAAGACACTGCTGAATAAATCATCAAGCATTCCTTACCAACAGGACCCTGCTAAATATACTGTATAAATGAAGATTATTTTCCTGAAAGGAAAGAGGAGAGGAGCTTCTCCTCCGAGCAGCACACCAGGCGTGCTGGCAGCAGCTGCTCAGAGCCATGTGAGCAGCTGAGGTTTTTCTCAGGGAATGCTGCCCAGATAGCCCTGCAAGTTAGCAGTGTGGCTGATGGGCTAAGAGAAACGTCGTGCAAACAGGTCACTGTCCCCTTCGGAGGGGTAATGAAGCCCAGTGGCAGACACTTCTGGAAACGAAGCTGTCCCGTGCTGGTTTGCCCCCCATGCAGCCTTGCATCTGGCTATTGGGCTTTCTGCTTCCTCTGCCCCTGCACCCAAGGACTTTCCTCTGTCTTGGCACTGCTGCAGAACAGTATCCAGACAAACTGCAGAAGCATCTCCTGACCTGCAGGGAGCTGTGCCTGGGGCAGCAGCCAGGACCTCTCCCTAAGAGGAAGGCAATAAGCTGCCTTTCTCTGCAGCAGCCAGGTAGCAGCTATGGAAATGGGATGTAAGTGCAAGTGGTCTTCAGCCACAGGGCTGTGATAAATGGGAGTTTGTAACTAACCAAACCCTTTCAGGGATTTGTTGCTTTGTATCTAGGCTTTCGAGGTGGATCCCAGCAGCCCAGAACCTGTTTAAATAGACTGTCCCCCTCTCGTGGGGGTTAGAGCTGGGAGGTTCTCACTGACTTCAGGGGTAAATAGGTATGTGATTGTCTTTGCTTCAGGATTTTGGGTGTTGGTCATGGAGCTCACCCTGCAGGGAACATGTGCAGGCTGCAGACACTGACTGCTGGGACAGATACCTCTGTCCAAGCTGCTGGCAGCCATGGAAAGCCAACCATACCCAGCATTGGCCCTGTCACTGATAACCCTTCATCTCTGTTGGGAAACTGGCTGATGGAGTGGGTGATGACTGCTCTGGTGGCTCAGAGCACAGGCTGTCAGGGGGGATTTCAGTCACTTTCTGCTGGGCACTGACACAGGCTGGCTGAGCGTCAGGCAGGGCAGGGAGGATTAGAGGCTGGAAGCTGGCGGGATGCTGGACTGGCCGGTGGCACTGCAACGCTGGTGCAGCACAACCCCCAGCACAGCCAGTATGTGAGGACACTGAGGACACCAGCATGGGTATCTTCCACCTACCGGGCTTTAGGAAACCCACAAGACAGCCTTAAATGTTTCGCTGATGTGGTGCCTCCCCCCAGTCCTGGTGTTCAGCTGCAATTTTAGGAGCTGTTTGAAGGGGGCTTGGGAGAGTTTGGGGGCTCAGATGAGACTAGGGTCTACTCAGTCACCTGTGTCCTCTCATCCAGCCCTGGGGACAAGGGCAGCAGACCCTATTGTCATGATCAAAATCCCATCACTTCTCTGCTCAGACTCCTGCCTATGACAGTCCCTTTACATGTCATTTTGCAAAGGCATGTTGTTAGTCCTTGGCCATATTTCTCACATATATTATGTTCTCACAGAACATAAACGGGATGGGAACATCCTAGCAGCTGGTACTGTGTCCTAAAGATGCAGGACAGGATCCAAACATACAATCCCTTGCTGGTCAACCTAGAACATCCCTAAACCTCCCATGGCATCAGGAGTGCCACCCAAGCCTCAGCAGCACCCACCATGGCAGGAACCCTCACAGATGCTGTGCTGTTTTTCCTCCTTATTCAGTGCCTCACGTGGTGGTGGGAAGAACTTGGTCTCCTGCACACTCAATCCTTGGCTCTGCTGAAGACACAGTGCAGCCAAACTGGTGCGTAGCCTATCACATGTAGGCTCACTTGCTTCAGCCTATTTTATTAGGTCTTGAGGATGTGAAGGTGGGAGCACATTCCTTATCCCTTTTTGGCTGAAAGACTCACCCCGAGGTCAGGCAGGCTGTCTTAGTCTGTTTGCAGATAGCCAAATTTATTTCTAGGGTGTTTTGCAGGAGCATAAGGTTTACTGGTGTGTTGTCCTGGAAAGCTCTGTTAATATGCAGCCTACGTCAATTATACTGTCTAAAGAAGTCTTCCCTGGGTGGCTTATTTTGTTCTGCCTCTTCTCTCCAGCTCTGTATAAACTAAACTACCTTGGCCAAAGTCAAAAAAACACACTGAAATCTTCCTGGCTGCCCACCCACAAATACTCCCTAGTTATGCCTTGAGTGTTGAGGAGGGATGGTGAAACCATGTGGGATAGCTTCGGCTGTGTCTGGCTCAAAGGGTCCAGCACTGCCCTGAGAAGCTGCCCGCAGAGCGGTGCTCTCAGCCATGGGGTTGTGCGGATGGTGGTTTCCCAGGCTGTGGGGCTGAGCCGTGGCAGCAGGCAGTCCAGGGAGCAACGGAGTGAACGCCGACCGAGCTGGCTGCTCATTGCCAGTGGCAGACTGTGCTAGAAAGCTCTTAGTGCTCTCGTTCCTCATTCACGCTGCCAGGCAGGTCTCCAAGTACACAAACAGGGCCCAAGAAGAATTGAAATAATTAAGAGAAGGAGGGAGGAGAGGGAAGCTGTGATTATGAGTTGCAGCAGCAAGATGTGAGTGTTGGAGATTTCCACCCTGAGGCCAAAGAGGAGCTGGCAGTCTGCATGCTGAGCTCAGGAACTCGCTGAATGCCATGGGAAATGGGAGCCACGGGAGAGGGCTCGATGCCTACGTGCCTTGTTGTTTTCATGCGGTGATGTGTTCAGAAGACAAATCCTAGCCTAAAGCTACCTGTGCCTTAAAGCACCTGAGGCATCCCACCTCCTCCAGTGCTGCTGTCCTGCGGCTGGAAGTTACACCATTCCTCTGCTGGCCTCTGCCCTTGAGTGTCGGTATGGATTTGTTCTTCAGGCCACACAGATCTTTGCTCAAAGCAAACAGAGGATGTAAGTGGTGGGAAACGTTGATTTGGTCTGGGAGTACTGGGACTGGGCATGTAATAATTGGGTGTCCTTGTCAGGTGGGACAAGGTGAGGCCTCGTGAGCAGTCGAAAGTTTCTTCTGGGCAGCTGCCTGAGACAACGGCTGCGAGGCAAACTGCAGTTGCCCACAGGAGGAGGGAAGCGGCCTGGGCTGCAGTAGGTGCTCTGCAGGTGTTAAACTTCTGCTGTGTCTGAGTGGAGCTGCGGGACTTGGTAACCCAGGGAGCTTCTTCCAGTCCGATGGTTTTTTTTTTTCCCCCCTTCTATACATTAAAAAAGCTAGAGCATCAATTAATTAAACTTTTCTTTTTGAAGGAGACTGGCAAAGCTCCACCACAGAGCTGAGCAGAGGGAAATGCCCCGTCCCCCGCAGAAAGGAGAGGAGCGAGGGGCAGGGGCGCGGCGCTGCGGAGGCCCTTCATGCAACGGCCGCTTTGCTAGCTGTCCCCGGGCACGCAGGCACCCCTCTCCCGCGGCAGGACAACCACGCAGTCGCCCTCTCAGCCACGACCAGGTACTGCCAGCCCCCCGCTATGGCAGCGGTGACCTCTGTGGTGACTACAAACCCCTCGGGAGGCTCTGGTGGATGCTCAGCCTGTGCCGAGCCGCGCGCTTCTGGCACTGCCCGGCTGCGCCGGCCTGGGCTCGTCCGTGTCCTTGAGGACTCGGCAGCTCTGGCTGCGCGGCACTGGGAGCTGGAGCTGGGGATGGGGCTGCTTGAAACGGGTGGGAGCATTAGGAAAGTTCGGCTTCTGCATCCAGCTGGAGACCACCGGGACTCAGCAAGACGGCACTGGGGACCCTTCAAACGCTGTTCCTCCCCTTGGCCCATGCTGTCACCTCTTGGTGCTTGTCCAGCAACTCTGGATAACGTTGGCTAGTTGTGTTACGTGACAGTGTCCCAACAGCGACAGAACTGGAGAATTTGGCCCATTTACTTCTAACAGAAAAGTAACAGCTCATAAACCACGTTGTAACTCATGTACAGTCGCTTTTTTTTGCAGTTAACACTGTATGACAAACTGTGCATGATATTAAACAGGTGTTCATTAAAGGTTAGATATAATATACTGCATTTCTTCATCTCCTCACTCTCATTCTTTCTCCCAAAGCACCATTCATGTTTATATGGTTCTTTACATTTTTCAAAGCTCTGTGCAAACATTAACTAATTAATCCTCACAGCCCACTATTACATATGCTTGAATTAATTAACACTCATTTACTTAACTCACACTGTCTCATTAAATATAAATTGAATGTATGTTTGGGAACTTTAACTAGAAACATTACTGGGGATTTATACAAAGCACGAATGCAAAATATGTTAATAGTAGCTGGAGGCAGCAAAATTCAAATACCAAGGTATTTAGTGAAAAATATGTTGTGGTGTCAGTGAGCAGAGTCAGATGATTAGCTGTTCCTATAAAATGCATATGTTGTCATGGCCTTGAAGTCATAATTCAGTCTGTGTTGTTACCTTAGTAATCCTGATAATTTGCTTCCCGTAATGTCTGCCTATACACTTTGTTCTGTTTAATTTTTCAGACTTGCGGAAGCTCAGTACTCTGTGGGCTGGCAGCTTGCTGTGAATTACTCAGATCTGGAGTGTGCTGATACAGACATGTAAATGCTATCGGTTAGACTTGCCACGGACACGGGGTAGCTTTCTGCGTTATAATCCCACCAGAAAATAGTGATGAGACTAGTAACCGTGTTACGGTTATCTCGCTGGCTCTGCCTGGAGGCTGTCATTGGCAGGAGGGGGAAGACTGAGTGTGTCTCAACTTCCTATTACGGACCATCACTCTTGGGGAGGACGGAGCATTTACATATGCTGACCAAACTCTGGGTTAGCCGCACTGCCACAGCTCCCTGCAGTAATTTAGGGCCAAACTGCCATGGGTGTCAGTGAGAGTTAGAGCCAAGGTACCCCTGAGAATTTGGGCTGTTTTGCCCAGGTATAATTCTCTTGGCTGTGTCTCTTCTTGTCGCATCCTTGAGCTCTAAGCAGTTAAACAAGTGCTGCCTGCCACCCAAGAGGCAATCACAGCTCAGTGATGACTGAAGTGGTTTCCTAGGAATAAATCTGTAAATCAGAAGATGAAGAGTTGAGAGAGTTTTTGCAGGGTTGTGAAGTGTCATTTACGTCATGGAAATGTGGCGAGAAGTTAAGCGTTATTTGGACACCTTAGATTTGTGTTAAGCTCTCCAAGTCCCATTGTATTTATAGAAAATTATTATTGTTTGAAGTCTTGTGGATTATTTCACCTTTTTCGTCTTCCCATGCCTTGGAGAAATAGTGGGCCAAAATTCTGACTTGTCGCCAAGAGGCAGCTCCAAACGTAACTGATCCTTTCCTCCATATGAAATTGAGAGATTCTTCTCCTAAGTTCCAAAAGTCAATGTGTTTTATTTCCCTTTGTTTTTACTGTCCTGTGAATAGGTCACTCCTTGTACGTAAGAGGCGATGAGTAACTCGCCAGTGCTGAATGGTGAGGGATGGAAAGGTGGTAGTTCCTGCTCATTCCTCAGAGACCACCAGGTCTTGTAGGAACAATAGCAGCAGCTGCACTTTAGTTTCAGCAGGGTTTATACATGCCATGGCAAGTCTGAATACACGTTCATTTGATTGCTGTGCTTTTAAATTAGTAAGAGCTTTCCATGCCCAAGCAAGCTCTTAGGGATGCCTCATCTTTTAACTAGAAATGTGTTTCCTTACAAGCTATATGTTAGCTTGTTATCCCAAAGAGGTATCAGGGCTTTGAGAGCCATTCCGGGTCTCCTCCTTCCCTTGATTTCTCTTTATCAATAAAATTCTTGCAAGCTGAGTACAACCTTCTCATGCAACCCCTGACGCCTTCAGGAAAGCTTTCCTCATACTTGACTGGGTCTTTGCAATCAGTTTTCTTGGTGACACACAGAGAGGGTAAAGCTCTTCATTTTTCAGGGCAAGCAGGAGTTAAAAGGAGCAGAAATGTGTTCTGCTTCTCAAGCCAGCAGATTTCTTTGAGGACACACGTAAAGAACAAGCCCATATTGTATGGCATAATAACACTTCAGAGCAAGCTTCATTCAAAAGTGCAACGAGGACTACATGACATGACACCAAAGTAACTAGTGGAACAAGAAGTGTGACTACATTTTGGGAAGGGTGTTGTAAACGCTGTTTTCAGTTGAAGTTTTTGGAATAGTAGTACTTCTGAAAGATGGAAAATTTAGATTTGATATAAGGAACAAATTCTTCACTATGAGGGTGGTGAGGCATGGGAACAGGTTGCCCAGTGAAGTTGTGGATGCCCCATCCCTGGAATTGTTCGAGGCCGGGTTGGATGGGGTTGTGAGCAACCTGGTCTAGTGGAAGGTGTCCCTGCTCATGGCAGGGGCGTCAAAACTAGATGATCTTTAAGGTCCCTTGCAACGCAAACCATTTTATGATTCTTTCTCTTCTGTTTTTACCAGAATACTGAAAGCATTCAGTAACAGTATTTCCTAACCCTGTTTTTCCTCCCAGCAGTCTTTTGTCTTGTCCAAAAAAATCTTATAACAATGTAAGAATAAACATACTGGATCTAGCCCAGTGTCTCCTTTGCAGCAGCACACAGGCAAGCATAGTAGTAGTTTTCCAAATATTCTTGCTTCCAGCTGTGTGTGGTGCAGGGCTTTCATAAAACAAAGGCAGTGTCTGTCTTTGTACATTTTTCTTCAGTGAAATTTTCCAGTTTTTAGCCTGTCTCAACTTCTGTCATCCACAATATGCAGAACAAGGATTTCCTTGGCTGCACTACTCATATATGAAAAACCACCTCCTTTAGCTTGTTTTGAACCTGTTTTTATGGTTTCATCTGCTAGCTGCTAGTTCTGGTTTGGAGAGAGTGCATGTGCAGTCTGTACCTATTCCCTTTCTCCATGCCATTCCTGATTTTATGGATATTTTTATACTTCCCTTGGCTGTCTCTTCTCAGGATTGAAGAAACCTAATCTGTTTAGACTGGAACAATTTCAACTATCTTTGACAGCTACCTCAGGATGAAGATATGAGTACATGGAACTGCCATTCAAATAAACCCACTGGCTTGTCCTTAATTTGTGGGGACAGCTTTACTGAAATCAGTGCCATTCTCAGAAAACGGAGCTTTGGGTAACAAGTATTCAGACCTGCCTGAGGGCACGTTAATCTGGTGATTTTGAAGGATTTTTTTGATGATGTTTTTTGTGGTAGACAGCTATGGGGAAAAAAGAGCCAAAAGCATTTTCCTGTTTTATTTAAGATCTTTCTGGTAGATTGCAAGCATGCAACATCACAGCTATGAGAAGTAAATTAAAAGGCTACTTAGAGCACTGAAAAGAGTGTAGGAGGATTGATTATGCTGTTCTGTTCAGGATGATAATATGGGTTTGGAAGAGATGTGGAACACGTTAAGATGTTAGGCAAGTCTTGCTGGTGCTTTTTAATTTTCACTTTGATAGCTAAGGATAATTCATTTTGCTCCAGCTGGGAATGTGTCTAGTGAAAAGGATAAAAAGTTGAATTAAAAACCTCTTGAGACAGTTGCAAACGGAATAAACATTGCCTGAGAAGGTGTACATTGTGGCCAGCTGTAAGCTGGCTGCTGCCCGTCCCTTTCTCCTGTAATATTTCAGACTCCTCCCTTGTGATTCATCAGTTCATTACAAAATCTGCTTTCTCAGACAGAGTACTCAATACTCTTGAGGAAAGTTACTATAGTGATGTCTTGAGGACTCTTGTCTCTTTCTGCAGGATGTCATTCACCTTGGGCAGCTACAACAGCACAGAGTCCTCAGGAGAACCTGCAAATGGATTTCTTGGGGTCTTGGCTCTCAATAACTTATTTCTTAAGTGTCAGCAATTTTTCCTGTGGTCTTTATTAGAAAATGATGAGGGGAAAACAGTAGTAATTAGTATGCTCTGGTCCTTGGAGTTCTGCTCAGTTCTGCTCTCTGAGGCGCTGCGAGATCCTCTGCACTAGTAAGGAAGGGCTATGAGTGCACGTGTTTATAAAGCACCAGTGTAAAGGCCTATTTATCGCGGGTACCAGTCACCTCTTGAAAGAGGGACTTGGTGAACAAGCTGTGATGCAAAATCCTCAGGATTTGTCTGCACAAAAGCAGATTCTATGTTGTGATTGACTTCCCTGATAGCTGGAGCTCTTTTCTGGGCTTTGCCAAGCAGTGAGGAGACCAGGTGAAGTCTGATAGCTTCACCAGTCATCCAAAACGTGGGTAGGAGGAGAAGAACATTCCAGCCCAAGACTCTACCTAGCCCAGAAAATAATGCGATCAATGACTGTAGGCTGTGCTTGCATGTGAGTTTTCAATGTCCTCCAGGCTCATGAATTTTCTTGGGAGCAGTTTAAAAGAGTGATGGCAGACAAACTTTCATGTAGCTTTGGTTTCAGCCCTATTCCCATTTTTTTTTCTGTTATAGTTCAGTTTGCCTCATTTAGTGCTTTTGGTTCTTGCCAAAACTCTCAGATCAATATTTGCAAAAAGTATTTTACGTGGAATCAGCTACAAACAAATGCACACCTTTTTTGTGTGTGTATGTGTATATAAAAGTTTAAGACTATTCTTCTTGACCAGCTGCAGAATGGAGACACGAAGTCAATGTCTTCAAAGAGTTTGCATGATTAGATTTCAGAATTAATTCTGTATGGTCCCAAAGAAAAGCATCAGCTCTCGGCTTCCTTTAGGAAAACCTGGCCTCCTATTTGAATTTGGCAACTCTCTTCTTGGAATAAAGAAATACATTCTTAAAAACCCTTGCTTGTTGCAAACTCTAGTATAAATGTAAAATGTTTAAATAATCCATTTGAAGCTGCTACTCATGAGATTTTTCTGAAGCCAATTTTGCAGCCTT